CACGATCGCAGCGCGCTCCTTCGACCCGAACCTATATAGGATGAACGGATACTGCTGCAGCGTTATGGGAGCTTCCTCAACGCTCTGAACTCCTTCGGGCAGCTGTGCCAGGCGGGGAGAAGCCGAGCTGGGAGTTCGCTCGTGGAGGAGATCTGTGCGTGTTGGCCACGCTGGTTGTGCCTGGGTGGGGCGGATTCTACCAAAGTGAAGGCGACGACAGGAGATCCGCTAAGCATCGTGGTGCTCGTGCTTGTTTCGAAGATCCTGCAGTGCGAGAGCCCGAGAGCCATGGCCTGCCCTGATCTCCAAACGCGATGCTAGGAACATCCGTAGCGGCTGACCATGCCGGTGAGAAGTTGAGCATTGAATTTCCCTTCAGCAGCCCAAGAGTTGCACTGACCCTGAGTCGAGCTTACTTCCATCGGCGGCAGAAAGCTGTTGTGGTGTCCTCTAGGTGGCAGGCTTGTGATCCGATGATGGTGATTGTTTGACCTGATGCCGTGCTCAGGGGCAAAGTCTTACCATGATCTGGCGTCCCCAGCTCAGACAACCGCTGTCACAGCCGACGCCATAATAAACAGCGAATTGAAACGGTTTCAGGCATTGCGTAAGTTGGAACCAGTTTCAAAGACAAGTTGTCCGCAACGGGACATTGCACTCAGAAGCTGGCATCTTTCATCTTGTAACTCTCATTTACCGCCATGGGCCACCTTGCGAGTTGGGCCTGGTTCTTGCTCGCAGTTCAATTTGCATTGCTACGTGGAGAGGAAACATGCTCAGATTCAAAGCAGATTGCGGGTGCATCCGCGGAGCCGTGTGAGATATCTCAGTTCTGAGCTCAACGAATCCATGACGGAAATGCTCCGCGACAATTGGCAAAAGGACGCTAAACGTGGACCCCTAAACTTTAAACCCGTGAATCCCAAACTACTACACCCTGAAACCCTGAACCCCCAGAACTGGAAACGCCAAAACCCCTAAATTCTATATACTAACCCAGAAACCCTAAACCCAAACCTTAAACCCTGAACCCCCAAACACTAAATCCGGAAACCAGCCCTAAACAGGCTCGCAGGGACAGGGATAAAAACATAATTAAATTTGGATGGCCCTTCGGCCAGCGCGAAGCTGGCAAAAAAAAGGCAGTGAGGTCGTGCCCTCGACGACGACGGCGGCGGCGACGCCCACGATGTGACGACGACAACACGATGACAACAATGCGGGTGACGACAACATGACAACAACGCGACGACGGCGACGAATCTTGATTTTGCTGATAAGTTTTGCGCAAGTTTTTTTTTTTGGCTTGGGTTTCCTTGATTTTTTCACGCATGATATTTTGCTTGGGTTCCTTGATTTTTTCACGGCGTCGGGTGCAAGCCTGAGCGAAACCGTCTCGGGTGCAGATCTCGGTGAGCATGAATGTTGCTTGGGTTGCTTGATTTTTCAGTCATGTTTTTTTGCTTGGGTTGCTTCATTGATGTTTTCAATTCTTCGGGTGCAAGCCTGAGCAGAACGGCCTCTGGTGCAGATCTTGGTGAGCATAATTGTTGGTTGGGTTGCTTGATTTTTTTGCGCATGGATATGTGATTGATTTTGGCATGATTGATTTTATTTTTTTGGTGATTTTGCAAAGAAGCAGGGAGCGAACTTCGGACTTTCCAGATCTCACTGGAGCATAGTAAACAGGTAGATGACATGCAGCATCGCATGGAGGTGATTTGATGTCGTAGACTCGATTTTGTCAGGATATATGTGGAATGAGGGACATCTGAGTGTCAACGTCCTGGTCACTGGGTTGTCGGAGTGCGCGTTTGCTCGAATCAGGCGCTCAATCCTAAATTTTTTCACCATGATTTGCTAAATAGCCCTTACTATGGGATTTTAGCGGATATTGACATTGGAGTCTCGGGGTTCATGCCCATCCCAAACCCAAAGCAGCGCAACTTGGGCCCTATGGTTATCGACGCATGCCGTCGGGCCCTGAGGCAAGGGCCAGCACATTCCAACCCTAAGGCTTGATTTTGGATGCTTTCACGTCTCAACTCTGAAACCTCACCACAACGAAGATTCTTTTGGATGCCTGTGAAAGCTTACAGTCAGACCAGAACGGACAGCCGACATCAAAGTGACTACGACGAGCATGATGCTGATGATGGTGATGATGATGTCCTTGAGGTATGTGCATGGCTATAATGTCAGCGAGGCAAGAAGCACCAACAAAAGTTTAAGCACGGTCTTTCCATCATGCTAAATCGACGTGTCAATACTGCTGGAGACGGGCGAGAATCTGCACTCATGAATGCGAAGAAAGGCAGCACTGGCGAACATGTGTCCGCTGAACATTATGATGGCAATATCCGTTATAATTGAAATTCGTTGGTAATTATTACCAAGCGAGTATTACAGTAGTATTTACAGTATGGTGGTGGTGGTGGTGCTGCTGCACAGGTGCAAACGCTTGAGGAGCCGAACCAACAGGCTGCGCCAGCCATGCAGCTAGTGGACGAGGCGATTTCTTGGAGATTTAAGTTCAGGTTCCTGTGAGCTGCATGCTTTGAGCGTGGAGTCTCCGTCAAACGACTTTTTTCTTGAGAGGCCTGAGGTTTGGTATGAAAGGCTTGCTGCAGCTCGTCTAATGTCAATTGGTTGGGATTTGGATCTACTTGGAGTATCCTTGTGACAGTGATTTTTCAAGGCACCGCTTTTGGCTCCCGAATGCCGTCCGTTTAGGTACTTGTAGCTACAAGTCCTACATTGTAAGCTGTGAAACACTACAGGCTCCGAGTCCTAAATTTCGATGTGTCTATCGTTCTACTGCGGCGACGACGACGAAGATGACGATGACAATGACGATGACAAGCGGGAGGAAGAGGAGAAGCAGAAGGAGGAGGAGGAAGAGGAGGAGGAGGAGGAGGGAGGAGGAAAACGACCACGAAGACGACGGTGACCAACAGCAACAACAACTACCGCTCCTGCTGCTGATGCTTCTGCTACGTGATAGTTGGATACACCATGACAACTACGACTGCATAAGCGACGACTTCCATTAGAACAGCGCTACGTTACGGCTTCGGATGACAAGTAAAGAAGTTGCCCTCAGCATCTGTGTGACCCTCGTTCGGGTTTCGCGCTTTGTCTTGTCAGCACAAAATCTGAGGACCTGCTACGTAATGGCTTCGACAGCAAAGCTTCAAGACGAATGCAGCAAACTAAGGACACCAAAGCTTCACCCAACATCAGCGGCCACAGCCACGCAAAGCGTTGCAATCCCCACCGTCTTCAGTTCACCAAGCCCCAATACTCCAAACCAATCCCTAAGCCCTACACCCAAAGCCCTCACCAAAAGTCGCCTTAAAGCCGAAAGCCTCGTTTGGAAGCTTTGCTGTTGCGAGGACGCGAAAGCTGCCGCGAGCCCTCCGAGTGTTCAGGCCGGGTGCAACCGCTCTGATCAGATTGTTTAACTGGCATTATCAGTGTTGTCTTGATCATTGCTGTTACTCTTGTCGTGTGCCCCGGAAGATTTGCCTGCATTTGCTAGAGCTGCTTGCTATGCATTATTACTCTCACCATGCTCAACCGAGGCGGCGACGGCGAAGGTCATGATGGGATCGACGGCAAAGTACAGCAAGGTGTTCCGGGGTTCGGGAGCTATGTATTGCATCCGGAATCTCGGCGTAGCCCACCAAGAAAGCAGCTCACCTCTACCGCAAACACTCCTCGCACACATAGATGGGGTCCAGGCCTTCCCCCAAAAATGACGATTCGCAGCGTAAACATAAACCCGATGTGAAATCATCCGATTGTTGCGAGCTTGATGACGTTTGCTGATTAACTTGTATCTCAGACACTGGGCCGAAACTTTGTTCCTTCCGATGCACTTTGGAGCCACTCAAACCCTGCTCAGCGCTACTCATGATCCTTCCAGTGAACCCAGAACCCGGCATACGCAACCTTTAAACCTGGAGTAAACCACGAAGTCTAGGGCAAACTTGCCGCGCTGAGCCTCGCCATGAGCCCTATCAGCAGCCCCCGGAACCTTCCGTCGAGATGGTGGTGGTAGTAGTAGTAGTAGTAGTAGTAGTAGTAGTAGTAGTAGTAGGAGTAGTAGAAATAGGAGTAGGAGTAGCCGTAGCAGTAGCACTACAGTGACAGTAGCAAGTAGACGGAGAAGAATGATTTCAACAGTGCTACTGTTTCCTGACAGGTTCCATGACACAAGCGAAGCCCGAGAGGTCGCATGGCAGCTCATTGGGCTTTAGGTTTAAGGGGCGGGATTCAAGGACTTCTGAAACTTCTTGGGTCCCTTCTGGGATTCTAGGGGTCCTTTCATCGAGGACCCTGGTGTTCGGGACCGTTCCTGACTACAAGATCTTACTGACGCAAGCGAGCAAGCGCTGGAAATTAATGCCCTTTGCCAAGCCGGTCTGTAGGGCCTATAATAATAATAGTAATTATAATAGTAGTAATAATAACAGTAATAATAATAGTAATAATGATAGTAATAATAGTAGTAATAATAATAGTCCTAAATTGTGATCCCATTCGGGCACCGTCAGGTCCGTGGGTTTGAAGAGGCCTCCACCAGCCCCCGAAATCCTAAGCCGCTCAAGTTCGTCATGCATCGCCGAGGTGTTAAGCTGCAATTGGTACATCCTGGACATCCTAAGCCGGAGTAACTAAACCCTAAACCCTAAACCCTAAAGTTACCTCAGCCCCTAAACCCTGAAGCTGCACCTGTGAACTGTAAGCAGCGAGCCGAGGTAGTGACCCAGTCGGCTGTCCCGCTGAGCTCCCTGCCGGGGCTTAAAACGGCTGGCAGGATTCAGGTGCTCATCTGCAGGGCTTTGGCGCTTAGCTTCGCAAGTCCAGGCACACGTTGCCCACAACGGGACGTTGTACTCAGAAGCTGGCTTTTGCTGCCGTGCCTTCGGCCCAAACATGCCCGGAGACGCCGAGAGCGTTTTGCATCTTTCATCTTGTAACTCTCATTTACCGCCATGGGCCGCCTTGCGAGTTGGGCCTGGTCCCTGCTCGCAGTTCAGTTCGCCCTGCTACGTGGAGAGGAAGCATGCTCAGATTCAGAGCAGATTGCGGGGGCCTCCCTGCTCTCTGCGAAGGTGACGCGGGGCCGTGTGGGAGATCTCAGCTCTGAGCTCAACGAATCCATGACGGAAATGCTCCGCGACACTTTGCAGAGGGACGCTAACGACACATCGGGATTCCCCGATGCAGAAGCCAATAGCTCGCACGAGAATCAGCATCATGGCTTGGGCGGGCTATCGAAGCCCTTCGAGTTCCTGTATGCCAAGGCAGGTTGCGCTTTCAGAAGCTCCATCAATGATGAAATCTAGTAGAGGATGTTGAAACCCTAAACCCAAAACCCTAAACCGTACCGCCGACCTTAACTACTAGGCGGAAAAAGGCGCTCAAAAAAACAACGTATGGCCGGAGTGGAGAAGTAGCCTTGAATGCCTGAGGTCGCGGAGCTGGAGACGGCAGTGCAGCTGCAGAATCTGGAGATCAAGGCCTTATCGGAGAAGCTCGAAGAGAAATCGCAGCAGGTGGCCGCACTGAGCGCCACGGTGGAGTTCCATTCCCAGCTACTGGGCTTTAACTTCCATTAATATACGGATCTATAGTGAATCAAATATGGTTGCCTCATTATAGTAACTTAAATAAAGATCCTCAAATAATATATGGTTACCTCATTATCGTAACTTAAAAAAACGATCCTTATATACTATATGGTTGCCCCATTATAGTAACTTAGATAGAGACCCTGCAACAAGAGCCCAGGCTGCCAGACCACGGTCACGGTCATAATCCCGAGAAGCTGGCGACAAAAGTCTCGAAGGCAAAGGCTGATGAGCGGGCAAAGCACAAGAAACATCGCCACCAGGTTGGGGACTGGGGTAGCTTCTTTGGGGTCCTTTAAAGGGGTCCTCTAAGTGATTTAAGGGATACTATAAGGGATTTATAGGGGGGCTTTTTAATATGGGAGTTTTCGAAAATTGAGGGGTACCTTGTTTTGGGGTCCTTTTAATAAGGATCCGACTATTTAGGGTACTACCTTATCAGGGCCCCACATTTTCGGAGACTCCTAGGTTGGGCTGCCAGAAGTTTTCTCTTCGTCTCGTGTAGGCACAGAGACACCTTCTCGAAATCCCTGTCAGGTCGCACAGTTGCAGAAAGATGAGTCGGTGAAGCTGCTTCGCGCGGTGCTGGGCAAGCATGTGCACCAGCATCGGCATGGATTTGCCAAGCCAGTACCTGGGGCAAACGCATCAGAAGCCGCAGTGGCGCCAAGAGATGCGCGGCAGAGTTCGGCATCTGGAGAAGGACCTCAAGAGTCTCAAGAGCAATCGCTCAAAATGAGAGCCGGCTTGCTAGACGAAGGCCAGTTGTAGTTCGGAAAAGGGTCTGAGGTTTGGTTCAGGGTCAGTCTCTCAGGACACAGCTGATTAGTCTCTTAAGACACAGCTGATTAGACCCCACAGAGCATGCATTATTGCGACAACCTCGTTTCTGCATTCCTGACGATCATGACGACTCTGCACGTTTGTACACTTACAGCCCTCTCACCCTAGGTCACCTGGGCTCTTGAAGTACCCTAAGCCCCTAAACCCCCCAAAAAACCCTTAAACCCTAAGCCCCTAAACCCCAAAACCCCCCTCAACCCTAAACCTTCAACCCTAAACCCTAAACCTTCAACCCCAAAAAACCCCTGAACCCTAAACCCCAGCGCAGGTGCAAGCGGCGATCTGGAGTTGGACAAGAGCGTGACCTCCAAAGATCCTTTTGGTGCCCTTTCCGATGCCTACAACGCCGCAGCAGACCAGGCACGGACTTCTCAAAGTTGGCCTCTGTTTTTTTTTAGGGTTTAGAGCTTAGGGTTTAGGGTTTTGGCTATAGAATTATAGAGTCCCAGTACTTATTCAGGCTCCATCGTAGTACATACGGACGTGGTAGTTTGCTGAGCAGCCAGGTTTCTTTCGTCGCGAACACCGTTATTGACACTGTGGAAGCGGCCATGGCAATTTTACTGCAAGGCTTCGATCTGAGTGCTGGCTGCCCTCAGTCCTCCGCGCCTTCGGCCGGTGCAGACGAGAACGGAGTCAAGATCCATTTCGGAAGGCAGAGCTCGACATGAAGGGCTTGGGTTACAGGGTGAGGGGTTCGGGGTAGAGTGTGCAGGCGAGAATGCGATAGCGGCATAGAAACGGAAATGTGGGAGTTTCCGAAAATGGGCGGCCCTCATATAGTACCCTAAATAGTAGGATCCTTATTTTAAGGCCCCCAAAATAAGGTACCACTGTTTTTCGGAAACTCCCAAAAGTGTATGAGAGGCAGAGGTGCGAGATGACTCTGGTTGGCCAGACGGTTCAGCTCTTTGACTTCGATTTCGGAGCACTTCGGCTGCATTTTCAGCCGCCCCAAGAACGAGGCACCCTCACTACTGACAGAGCGGGAGATGCAATGACTTCTAGACGGCCATCATACCTGAGTGTACCCGCTGAGGAGAAGTCCTTCAACTGGCCCAAGGCATTGTCCAAACTCGCAAAGTTTGATTGGGACTTCGCCGCGAGTTGCCCCGATTCCTACGCGCCCTCTGCGAGTGCTGACGAGGACCCAGAAACACCAATATCCTTAGTTAAGGAACATACCGTAAATTATAGTAGGATCGCTAATATGGTGAAAGGTTGTATTCCTTGAGTAAAGAATATATATTGAATTGTAGTAGGATCCCTAATATGGTTTAAGGTATACCCCTTAGTTAAGGGCTATTGGAGTCCCCTAAACCCTATAGATCTTATAGATCCCTGAAAGGAACCCTAGGCCCTAGGTATTCCTGAGTTAAGGGGATAGCTGGAGTCTCTGACGAGGACGGCGTGAAGATCAACTTCGGAAGGCAGAAGTGCCAGGCCACCCTCCCCTAGGTATATACCCTTAATATAGCCATTATATACCCATTTTACCCTAAACCCTAAACCCCCGATTATACAGCCCATTATAGGGTAGGGGTCCCCATTAAGGGCCCTCCGTTTCCCATTTGCCAGGCCACCCTCGCCGGCCAGACAATTCAGCTCTTCGACTTCAACTTCGGGGACACCCTGTGCAATGTGGGGGTTTGGGGTTCAGGGTTTAGGGTTTAGGGCAAGCCCAAGGCAAGTTTAGGGATGCATGATGTGTGTCTGTGTGTGTGTGTGTTTATACAGACAGCTTGAGTGGACGTGTTGAAGAATGTGCAACCCAGGAGAGGTCTTTCCCATGGTTTGGACCCCTGGCCACCCTGGCAAAGTTGGGTTTCGCCATCGCCGACTGTGCGACAGAGAGCGGCGCGACTGCGTTGGTTTGCTTTGCGAAAGCCTTTGGCAAGACTCTTCTCGAAGTGGTCCCGCCCTTTAGCATGCTCACCAAGCTGAACCAGATCATGGAGGAGTTCATCGCGCTCTTTGCCCTTATGGCCGGCAAACTGATCGAGAAAGCCTTGGGGGACAGCACAAGCCTAATCCAAGAGGCCGTCCAAGCGAAGTTCCCCGAGGTTGGCGCCGCCGCAGTGGTGAAAAAGTACAGCAAAAACTTGGAGCTTCGCCTCAGTAGCCGCCACGGTCCCAAAAAGCACGCGGCAGCGAAGCACTCAGAGCTCTCAGCTGACCCTTCCCTGCTCCAACGCCAAGGCCGAAGGGATGCGCTGCACAGCCGAGGGGAGGGCGATGACAAGCCGGAGGGTGCCCTTGGCTTCGGCGCATCGGATTATGTCCCCCAAGTGCACAAGCTCATCACGCAGTTCCTTTGTCATAGTTGGGTAACATTTTGCATGTTTATGGGTACTTAAACCCAATAAGGAATAAAATGTATATTTTTAATACTACCCCAACCATGAACTAGGTTCAACGGCGTGGAGACAGACTCGGGCTCCTGCCTGGCCTTTGCCCCAAGTGTTCGAGGAGGGCCCGGAAACACGGTCCTGCCCAGGGATTGGCAGACGCCGGGGCAGCAAAGCGACAGTGTGCCAGAGGAGTTCATCAAGTTGGAACCTTGGGCCGTTCCGTGTACCAACGAGTGGATGAAGGACAACCCAAGCAAGTGGGAAGGATATTCCTTCTACACATGGGAATCGCCGGTGGAAAGGTGTGCCTTAGATCACCAATACCCAGCCTTTAGACTCTTCGGGTTCTTATAGTTTAGTAGGACTCGGAAAGTTTAACCTTTTATTTCGGTGGCTTATTGGGGGAGTAAGGTGCCACTGTTGTGTACAGCTTGTCACTCCAGCCTGTGATTGCCTTCGTTGGCGGCTTGGAGTTCGACATCATGCCGGCACCCATAGCCGAGGCAGGGCTGATGTTGCTTGCGGTGGATGGTGTCTAAGGGGGAAACCATGGCCCCTAGTATGGCCCTTAGCCCTACAATCCTTATATACCTGATATATACCTTATACGTACGCTTTATAGGGCCCCTTGAGAGGGCTAAGACCCCCACACATTTAAGCCTACATGGTGTGAACATGTGTGAACCTTGAGATGTTTTTTTTGCAGGTGGAGACCCTCGTCTGCTGGCCAGAGACCCAGCCTGGCGGTGAGGGGCTCGGCTTTGTTGCTCTTTCTGCCCTCTTTCCTCCATAATATTTTCTGATTCAAGTGTGTCCTGCTTCTTGAGGTGTGGACCTCAGCGCCATAGAGATGCACATCAAGTCGGGCGGAGTGCCGCTGCTAACGAGAACGCTCCGCTTGAAGAAGCGCTTCGGCTCCGGCACTGACTTCAGCGGCGAGAACATCAAAGCGACGACGGCCAGCGGGAAGCTGAACTTCGGCGTGCCCGAGGATGGCGCCGATGACTCGGGCCTGAATGCCATGTCCAGGGAGTCCTTGCTTGAGGCCAACGTGAGCCGAAGTCGCCCCCCTGGAAGTCGCCCCAGCGAAGGCTTCGCTGGCTTCGAGGTGGAGCAGACGGGCTTTCTGGCCTCCATGGTCTACGACATGCTGTCGGGACCCAACGTCACCGGCTCCTGGCATGGCGCAGAGGCAGCCGAGAGGCTTCAAGCGCTCTTCCCGAAGGACTCCACCACGGGCACGTCCTTCGTGGAGTCGCAGCAAGACGAGCATGTCCTCTTTTCGCTGACCAGCCCAAACAGCGGGCTGGTTGGCTTTGAGACCTACGGCCTCTTGAGCGACAACAAGTTGCAGTTGGGTGTGCAGCTGCAGCCTGGCTTGACTCAGGGTCTCCGATGCTAGAGCCTTAGAGGACCATAGAGCTCTGAATCTAAGGCCGGCATCGCATTTTGTTTTAAATTGGTGCAAGCCTAAGCCGCTGTCCGAGGCAGTTTGGGCCCTTCAGCACCTCGCGGAAGACCTACACAATCCTGGACTTGAAGGCCCAGCTCGCGGCCATCCTCGCCGCCATCCCCTTCATCTCCCCGGCCAGCAAAGCTACGGCGGTGCAGGCCATGTCGGACTTCGACTCCTTGGCAGCAACGGTGGTGCCAACCTCCCCATTGGCATTTTCACGCTTGGCTGAGTATTGGATCTTCGCAGGCGGCCATCGGCCAGCGGAGAGAGGGAAAGCGCTCTTTTGGGACAACGGCCCCCAGACCTACCCCTTCAACGAAGACTCCAGCAAAGTGTGGCGCTTGCTTTCAGACGGGCTTGGTGAATACTGGCTCGTAACAGGTGATCACCAAAATCCATCCGGCAACATGCTCTACCTGAAAGACAACCAGTTTCAACTGCACGCATTCTGGGAGGACCTCCAACCTTTTGCAAGAGTGGTGGTGGAGTTGGGATAGAAGGGCCGGTCATACAGGTACCAGTGGCGGTTCGTGTAGGTTAGCACTACTCAAAGGTGCCAGTGTCTTGGCTGTGTCTTGATAAGGCTCACGTCGTCACTACTCTGCTGGACTATGCTAGGATAGATGCTGTATGATTCGAATGATGTTATGCAGGCTTTACTGTAGAGCTACGGCTGGACTCGTGATTCATAACCACCGCAGAAGCAATTTTGGCCGGAAGATTTTGCTTACCCCCAAGCATGATCAGAAGGTCTGGGGGCTGGCATTGGTAGTGCTCGGCAGCAGTAGTTGTGGCGGAAGTGGTAGTTGTAGTAGTGGTGGTAGTGGTAGTGGTAGTGGTTGTGGTAGTGGTAGTGGTAGTGGTAGTGGCAGTAGTAGTAGTGGTAGTAGTAGTCGTAGCAGCAGGAGTAGGAGTAGGAGTAGTAGTAGTAGTAGTAGTAGTAGTAGTAGTAGTAGTAGTAGGAGTAGGAGTAGTAGTAGTAGTAGTAGTAGTAGTAGTAGTAGTAGTAGTAGTAGCAGCAGTCGTCGTGGTGGTGGTGGTGGTGGTGGTGGTAGTAGGAGTAGGAGTAGGAGTAGGAGTAGGAGTAGGAGTAGGAGTAGGAGCAGGAGTAGCAGTAGCAGTAGCAGTAGCAGTAGCAGTAGCAGTAGCAGTAGCAGTGGCAGCAGCAGCAGCAGCAGCAGCCGCAAGAGTAACAGCGGCGTTGGCTTCCAGGACCCGAGCACAAAGTGGAGACTGGTCCCCGTCCCGGACAGTGGTGAATTCTGGCTCGTGACGGGGCCAAATCATCATCAGCCAGGATGGGGCACTGGAACGAAAAGACAAGTGGTCTCATTGGTCTCATATAAAAAACCAAAACTACAGCATGTTGTGGTACTTCGTATGGTGCACATGGGTGGTTGTCAAAATGATAGTCCCATTTTGGGTACCCTAACCTGTAGGTGCCGTATTACAATAATAAGGACCCAAAAAGGAACCCTAATATTGACGACCACCCGCATAGAACGTTAGGGTATTATTCTGCGGGACTCTGTGCTTCGAACTCACCTTTACATGCTTCAATCCGATCCCAGAGCTTCGGGCGTTTGGACAGGACGATTGTCATACGGTTGCTGTGATGATGTTGATAAACATAAGGTGGTGATGATGATAATGATGTTGATGATAACGATACTAGTAGTCTCTGCTTTTTCGTATCACGACGACTGTAACAATGACGCTGCTACTGCTGCTACTGCTACTGCTACTGCCACTGCTGCTACTACTGCTGCAGTTTTCACTACCATTGTGTTGTTCTTGCTCTGCTGGTGGCGTGTGTGAAGTCCATGTCATGAAGACCTGCCAGGCGAGATGCTTTACCTGTCGAACTCAGTCTGGAGCAGGCAAACAGGGTCCCTTATGTTGGGGTCCTGATAAGGATCCCACTATTTAGGGCCTATTAGGGTCCCCTATATTTGCGGAAAATCCCATCTTATTTCAGGCATGCCTTTTGGCGCGATCCGAGTTGCCAGTGGCGCGTGATGGAAGTGGCGTATGGTCTGCAACCGTTCATGCTGAGCCCGGCCGAAAATTGGATCGTGGGCGCTGAGGGTCACAGAACCTACGAGGATTTCATGCTGATTTGGAAGGCAGGAAGCTTCAGAACCGGGATTTGCGAATCTGTGGCAGATGCCAGTGACGGTTAGTAATCCGAGCATCCGAGGCTCCTAGGGCTTGCTAGACTGGCAGAGTTCTCTCCACGCGGCAGGTCGGCGGCACCCACATTCACAACTTCAACTACGACGGCAGGTGCCGCTGGCTGTTGAAGCCAGCATCGAATGGTGAGTTTTGGCTCATCACTGGTTCGGAAGCAGACAACCCCAATGCCATGCTGTACCTAAAGGGTGGCAGCTTCTGGGTACATTCTCCAGCCTGGAACGATCCCAGTTGCACGTGGCGTGCGGTCTCTGCTGGTGATGGTGGCTTCTGGTTGGTGACGGCTGAGAACCATCACGACCCAAACCAGATGCTGTACATCAGTGATGGGCAATGGAAGAGCACGGGCTTCTGGAAAGACCCCAAAACGAAGTTCCGATTCCTGCTCAATGGCTAAGTCGTTTTGTCTGGCGTCTCGGGTTGGGTTGAGAAAAATGACCCTTCCGCTTCGCAGCGGCGTAGCGCTCACTGCAGCCGTTCAGACCTCGGCCATTTTGGCATCAATCCTGTGCTCGATGGTGTTAAAAAAAGGAGCGCATTGCATTCCAAGGGTTAGAATGGGGGTTTTGGGGTATAAAATGCTATAATCATGATAAGGAGCCCCCCAAAACCCTATTCTAATAAGTATGGGCCCGGGCCTGCAGCCAGAAGTGGCGCCTTCCCAAGCATGCTCAGAGCAGGCCGAGGCTGCTGAAGCAGCCGCGCCGTGCCCCGAGAAACATGGCCATGTGCCGAGAATTTCGGAGTGTTTGGGTCCTTTGGTGTAAAGCGAGCTGATGGCCGATGCCTTCTCGGAGCGCTTGTCGGCGCTCTGGTACTTGGACTCAGGGCTGAGACAACGGCACTTGGGGGCAGAACCGGCTTTGCCGTTTGCCGGTGAAGCGATGTCGCAGGTTCATATGCATCGGGTTCGCATGTAACAGAGAGGGCAGCCGTCCAGCACATTTCCTTACACCGTGGCTTGAATTCAAGCACTGTTCCCAAGGCAAGGGAGGATGTGGAGACGCAGGCATCGGAAGAGGACTCCAATCTCAGTTAGGGCCCCTTCCTGCTTCCCATGCAGGAGCTCACCAGCCCTCTAACCCTCTGAGCCCTGAACCCTAAACCCTCGAATCCTTCGAGAAGAAACTGCGAAGTCTCTATGATGTGATGTCCTGTTTGCCAGTTCAGGGCTGCCCGAAGCCCTGTTCTTGGGGTACAAGATCCCCCGGAAGTGTGCATCTGCAGCAAAAGACTAGAGAAATCCCGTCCTACCGATGAGATAGGTACACAGCCAACGCGAGCTAGCAGCCCTCGTAGGCCTAAAACCTTCCAGCCAAGCCCCGAGGTTTTCAGTCGTAGGGGAGTGGGGAATCGAAGCCGGGAAGCTGCAGTTGCCCAAAGGCTGCAAGCATCGGGTGTAGGCTGCAGCTTGAGCAAGAAGGGCTTACTTAGGGGCCGTTTTAAACGGTGAGCCCCTGATCCTGTCAGGATATGCTGCAGCTCGGCAGCGGCGATCGGCGCCAGTCGCAGCCTCTGTGTGCGGCTCAGGGATGGTTGGAGCGATGTCGGAGTCTGCAGCGTCTGTTCCCTATCCTTGACGATCCCTGACGTCCCTGCATCGGGCGTCCTTTGTGGCTGAAGATGGCTGAAGCCCAGTGTGAGATTTCATTTAGCCGTGCTCAGTGGGGGGGATCCCACCCCTTGAGCTCTCTTCGAGTCCCGACGCATCGCGACACCATGGACGCCCCGGCTGCGCAGCCTTCGAGCAACGTCGCCTTTCACAAGGGAGAGCGTTTTCTTCTGGACAGAGCTACTGTGGGCCTGGAGGACATGAGGCGGAAGTTCCGATCCGCCTTGGAATCCAGTGAGCGTTTGGTTGGCTTGGACATGGAGTGGAAGCCTGACTATTGCAAAGAGCGCAGCAACAAAGTTGCACTGATTCAGCTTGCTCTCGGCGGCTCTGTCTGGCTTGTGCGAACTTGTGAGATTGATCTCCCCGACTTTGTCCGGCAGCTGCTGGTGGACAGCTCTGTTGTGAAGGTCGTTGCTGATCTGGATTCTTCTGACCGGGAGAAGCTGCAAACATCGTTTGGCATTCAGGTTCCGAAGAATTCAGAGGAAGCGGGCTTCGTGGACATAAGCCTGCTTGCCAGGGAGTGCGGTTTTGCCGGCTCTGGCGTGAAGAAGCTTTGTGAGCGCTACGGCCTCCCGATCGAGAAGAACAAGAAGGTAAGCTGCTCTAACTGGGCAGCGGCCAGGCTGACAGAAGAGCAACTTCAATATGCCTGTGATGATGCCTTCTTCACCTTGCTCTTGGGAGGACGGCTGCTGCAAGAGGAGAAGGTCTCGCCTTCAAGGCTTCGCAGCCGCGCCCGGGCGGCCTGTGATCTGGTGCTCCCTGTAGCAGGTCTCAGCATGGGAACGAAGGACATGACGGAGCGGCACGCGGAGGTGAGTGCCTTCTTGGAAGAGCTCAACGAGGCCATCTCCCGCGCGTGTGCAGTTCAAGGTGTGGCAAAACTTCCAGTTAGGGCATTAGGGCAACTTCGAGACAAGGTTGGCATGCCTTTCGCCCATCGTGCGAGCCTTTTGCTTGTTCCTTTGGGAGCGCGCTTCCTCAAAGAGCAATGCCAGCTTTTCGGCGTTAGCAAGCAAGACCTCGTTTGGGCACGTTCCGCTGCAGAGAGGGCCCCTTTCACGGATGAAGAGAAGTCTCTCGACTGGGCATCAGCTCCCGAGCAATCCTTGCAGACATGGCTGAGCTTGCAGCCTCGCATGGCGAAGCAAGAGCTTTCGGGTCGCCTGGGTCTCTTGGCCCGAGCTTTCGAGGGAGCGAAGGAGTCGGCCAAGGCTCTTGCTGTGCGGAAGCAAGCACGCGAGTTCAGCGAGTCTGCGGCAGACTCGCAGCAGGGCCCTCAATGGCGAGGGCAAGCCGCTCGGTCCGCCGCAGGCCTCCGGCCTTCTGGGAACACCAAGATCGTGGAATGCCGCTCACGGCCGCTGCGCAAAAAGTCTGATTCACAGACAGTGGTGGCTCGTGGCATCCCCAAGCAGTGACCCAAGGAGGATTTCAGGACAAGGTCGAGAGAGACATTGGTGCTGTCGACGACCTGCTCATGCCATTGAACAGCCACTGGCACGCACCTGTGCATGTTTTCTGGGGGTGCTGTACTAGGAAAAACCCCGTTGCCAGAAGAGATTACATGTCCTGAATCGTCTTCCTGACATGCCCACCAAAAGAATCTATGCTTTAAGTTTTTTGTGGCAAACTTGCGCAGCTGAGGCAAGGAGCAGCACTTGGGGTTTGGTTTTGTCCACCTCCGGGCTTGTACAGAGCAGCAAAGTTGCACCTGGAGGCAGTTTTGGATGGCGCCCGCAGAGCTTTCAAAGGCTATTGCTCCAAGGGCTCGGCGAGAGCCTTCCTTCGGCCCAGTCTCCATTGACTGAACCATATTTTAGTGTAAACTACCTCAGGAAACCCTGTGGAGGCGAAAACAGGACAGAGTCGCCCCGGGGTAGCTTGATGCATCTGTGCGTCTGTGCGATGCCAGGAGCCAGAAAAAGCAGGGAACATCTTAGGTACTGCCCCCACACAGTAAGAGTCTATAATAGTATCTATATTATGAATATTATTCAACCATTACTGAGTGGGGGCCGTACCCAAGGAACATCTGAGTCTGGACCAGCGTGTAGTTGCTCTTGTGAGCATGTCTGTCGCGGTGTCTTTTTCGTTTCTCAGGTGCAGCGCGGTCTGGCCTTCTCAAGCTCCGCCGGGTCGTACTCGGCCGAATGGCCGGAAGGCTCTTCAAGTTTTGTTTTTTTCAACCTTGGCCTTCCGAGGCATCATGTCCGTGCTTTGGGCAGTAGGCGCTTTCACTGGTTGGCTGTGAAGCGCAAGCTCCTGATCCTGTGGCCCCGGCACAAGGTGGCGCTGAGCAACATCCCCGTGGCAGCGATCCCCGTGGCAGCGTTCCTGTGCTGGCAGCTTAGTTGAATAGTAATTGTGACAAGAATGCGCAACAAACATTTTGATTGCATGCGTTTGCAGGTGCATGAATTGCCAGTAGACTCATCCAAGTGCTTTCTGAACTTCACCATTTGTTGCATACCAGCTTTGGCTGCTGCATATCATGTCGTACTTGTGCTTGTTGAACCACCACCGCCCGGAAGACGACGACAACAATTGGGTGGAGTATGTCGAGTTCCCTCATTTTCCGAACCACTTGAGTGCTGAGTTCTGGCTTCGTGTACAGACGAGGACATGCCACCCCACGCAGTCACGTTGCAATCGCTCTCAGGCTCGCCTTGCCAACTCGCTTGCATCACGCTGCACCGCAGAGCCGGCGGAGGGCTGCTTGCGTCGGATTGCAAAAAGTTTGCGCAAGACGAGCTTGTGTGGCGACTCAGCGAGAATTCGCTCACTGGCGGATGCCATGCATGTCCCTGCGTTCTGTGATCCTCGGTCCTTGGATGCCAGTCTGGTCGCCTGTGAGCCAAGAGTCCCTGCGACGTGGACCCCTACCGCCGCACTTTGGTCAGAGTGGAGTCTTTAGACCGGCCTGCTGGTGGTGGTAGGGACATCGAAGTCTGCGGCCATGAGCACGGCCGCGCGCTTAGACACATGCAATACCTGAACACCATTCCATCAGCTGCATGTGCAGTGGTGGGTATGGGGTAAATATGGTCTCGGCAGGTGCCAATCTCCCTGAGCCGCGAGCTTACCGATGGAAGGCTCTTCAGTGGGCAAGGGCAAATCGACAGTCGACTTGACAACCAAGGTGAAGCACAGCGGCTGCATCATGCCGTTTGCATGTTGCAGGAGCACTCTGTCGTCTGCTGGGCGTGACATCGCTCGTATTGCTAATGATTTGATGCCACGGACAGGGCAGCAAGGTGCCAGCCTGGCCTGCTCCCCAGCAGCTCGGGGACCGGGTTGCCCGGTGTCAAGCGAGTGGTCCAAGGAGCGAGGCACCAATCCGCGTGGACGTGGAAATCGACGTGCCGGTGAGCTGGACCCTCAGGCTCAAACAGCGTGGCCAGACAGTGCCGCTCTTGCGTATTCCTGTGAGGCGAAATCTGCCGTCTGCACGCGGCACTTCAGGCGTCGGGCAGCAGGCTTTGCATATTTTCGACAGATGTCTCTGTGGAAGGTTCTCCAGCTGCGACAAAGCTCTGAGGACCGTGAGACTTGTGCGAAATTACATAGCTCATCCGAAGATTCACAGATTTCGGTTGTCGCGTATTTGGGTGTCGTGCCTGGGGCAAGCCACAGGAACGCGACAGAATTCAGTGTGAAATTTCTGGTTCGGGAGCCCATTTGGAATGACGTGTGGCCTGACTGGAATACAGGGTCGTCGTATGTCGTCGTGGTTGGCAACTTGACCCGATTCAGCTGAACGAGTGATTTCTCCGCGG